TTTTTTTAAATTTAGGATGAAAAATAAATTTAAATAGGGTTCCTGGTTTCATTACCAGTATACTGCTTCTTGTATATTTTTACTATAAAATATATTAATAATAAAAGAGGATGATTTTACAAATTTAGTTACAAATTTATTGGAAAAAATATCAGTTAATGAAAAATTCAGAAAATTCATTAATTTATCTTTATATTCATTATAACTAAATTGTAAACGGTTTTAGAAGATATTTATTTCGCATGGTATAGTACCCGGTATAGCAAAGCTTTATCTTATAGTTATTCTGTAGGCCTATTTATGCTATAACTGATCCGAAAGGCCTGCCTATTTAACATTGGGCAGTATGCTCATATCCATATAGTCATAGTCATACATTTCATTACCAGTGTCCGTAAGTTTACATTTCTTGAGACTTGAGAAGAACAAATAACTCGCTCTAATTACTCTAATAATTGAAAAATTAAAATAATTTGCCAAATATATTAATTTTTTTTTTTTTTTTTTAAAGCCGCAAAGCTTTGCATGGCAGAATTATATTTCTAAAAGCTTAGAAGCCTAATTTAACCAATGAAACAAATAATATACCATAATATATTAATCAGAAGAAAATCTGTACGCGGTTTGTTTTTTTAACCGTTTCGGCTTTTTGTGTTTAATGTTCTGTTCAATTTTATAATTTCTGTGCTCACCTGTCAGTTGTCTATGAGTTAAGTTCTCAGTGTCGTCACTTAGACTTGTCCGTGCGGTCACTTGTCTGTGTGCTCACTTGTCCGTGAGTTCACTTGTCCGTGGGTTCACTTGTCATGGGTTCGGTTGTCTTGTGGTCAGTAGACGTAGGTTCACCTGTCGTGCGTTCAGTTGTCTATGAGTTCAGTGGTCAGTGTGTTCACTTGTCAGTGTGGTCACTCGTCCGTGTGGTCACTTGTCCGTGAGTTTACTTGTCATGGGTTCGGTTGTCTTGTGGTCAGTAGACGTAGGTTCACCTGTCGTGCGTTCAGTTGTCTATAAGTTCAGTTGTCAGTATGTTCAGTTGTCAGTGTGTTCACTTGTCAGTGTGTTCACTTGTCTGGTGGTTCACTTGTCCGGTGGTTCACTTGTCCGGTGGTGCACTTGTCAGTGTGTTCACTGGTCAGTGTGTTCACTTGTCCGGTGGTTCACTTGTCCGGTGGTTCACTTGTCCGGTGGTTCACTGTCCGGTGGTTCACTTGTCCGGTGGTGCACTTGTCAGTGTGTTCACTTGTCCGGTGGTTCACTTGTCCGTGGATTTACTTGTAAAGGTGTAGTTACATTTAGTTCTACAGACAGTCCAACACCAGACCTGGGGATCTTTATTGATTAATATAATAGTCTCCTTCGCAAAAATCGACCTTTTTTAAAACCTGAGTTCAACCGTCACGCATGACGCTCGCTGCTCGACATCATGTTCTTGTTTCACCCAGTACTATTAATACAAAACATGTTGAGTCGGTGAAGGGCCGGTTGTGAAAAGGAAGAAGTCACACCAGAAGACATATATATATATATATATTATATATCCACGAGATTAATGATTTATGTCCAAGAAAATAACATTTAAATCTTCATTTATTTTAACAAAACAACAGAGTTGAAAAAGTAAAAACAAAACAAATTTTATAAGAACTTTTTATTTAAACATCGACACGACTTTAAATATACCCCCACACACACACTGATCTTCACAAGCTATTTCTAGATGTGAAAATACATGAGCTCTATTGATAAGAGGTGTATAATATCACGACAGAGAAAAATTTAGTGCTCAATAAATACCGGGTACCTTTAAAAAATGTTTTAGATTGGCTTGCCTCATGTTTACTTTCTACATAATAGGGAAAAAGATTACAATTGACACCAGCATTTGATTTAAGAAAAAAAAAGTTTCCCTTCAAAGATAGTGTGCTTCAAATATGGAGATCCTTTTTCGCGAGAGTGGTGTGAAGTACACAAAAAAAGTCTGTTAACCACTTCCTGTTGTATTTGCGTATGTACATTTTAGATGTAAGAAGTATAACCATGTTAAATTGAGGTCTAAGTCACAGTACGCTTTTTTGATATGGTTTCTCTTCCGGGATCTGAGATGCTTGGATCCCGGAAGATTTTTTTTTTAGTAAAAAAGGATCCCCGTGAAATTTTCCCTTGCTGGAAAATCCCGGGTACACACTTATATAATACAATTTTTCTTTTTTTTTTTCTTTTAAACATTTCAACAAGTGACAGATTGTCACAAATTGTCGACATTAGCCAGAGTCTGTACAATCTAGTTCAACTGCGGGTTAGTAGGCTCAATAGACAGAGTAAAAAAAAAAAGCACTAAAGCATTTTCAAGTCCCAACCACATTCATATAGAAATTAACTGACCAGTCTAACGACAAATTGGAAAAAAATGGCTTTTAAAAAGGGTTAACTCTTATAAAGAAAAACATTTTAAAGACGTAATATTCCAGTATAAAGCCTATTTAATTTCACGATTGGAATTTTAACACGAACTTTAAGACATCAATTAAAAAAGAATTTAAAAAAAAAAAATCACAACTTCTTTTAGTCTATTGTTTCAACCAGCGAACCCACACACATCCCTTCACAAACCAAAGGTTCATGTGTCAAAGTAGCTTTATACTGTGAAGTGTGTTTGTATTTTCAAACTCAAAAGATTAAACCATTAACATATTTTTATATACATGTCCTTTGTTACGTATGCTTCAACAAACGAGCAAAATCTTCAAACATGACATTTTCAAATCCATCGTAGCACGGTGTGTGTGTGTGTGGACATAAAGTAATTTTTCGTATTTAATAATATATAAATATTCAATTTAGGGCTCCAAAATGTTATTTCATAATAATTTCCAACTGAATGAAGTAAACAAAAAGTTGTTGCGAGAATAATCATGTGTTGCATATTTATTATTTCTTCCCTCAATCCATGTTTTTTGGATGACGTCATATCTCATAGGCCATAGGCTATCATGTCAGCCCTTAAATTAAGTTTTAAAAAAATTGCCAAGGATCGATAATCAATAAGATCAATTATATTATTGCAGAATTACATTTTAGTTCATTATTGAAATAACATGACATGATACTTTATCCTCAAATGTTTATAAACATTTTTTTAAAAATGGAAGTAAGTTAATTTTTACAGCGAAGTGTAAAATTACAAGTTTCATGTCCCATATTATATTTGACATTTTATATTAAATAAAATATAAAATTACATCGGTGATAGTAAAACTCAGATTTTTATGGCATAAAAGCCCTTGCTTAGCTAAATTATTTTGCTAATTCGCGTTGAGTACATATATACATTCGTAATAAGATACACATTTAGCATATTCACAAACTGAATATCAAATACAAGTCAATCGTTTAAAAAAAATATATGAAAAAATGATTTAACAATAATGATCAGAATGTGGTCACTAATAAACAAATGTGAATTGTGGATACATGTTGTTTCGAATACTCCATGAAGTACCGATACCAAAAGCAAAACGTTCCAGGAAAAGAAATCGGGAAAATTAAATATTACCACCACGTCATTGCCACGTAAATGTAACGCATGATCTTTTTTTGTTGTTGACAGTAGTTGTTTTGTTTGATACGGTAAGAGGGCAAGAGGGTCACCTATTTTTTTTTTAAAAGAGCAATTTCCTCTGCCCCAGATGTCGGTTAAAGACGAAACGCGTAAATTAACATAAAACAATAATAATTAGACTACAATACTAGATATTTGTTACCCCAGACCAACTGCTCTTGAGTAAGGTAAAAAGTTTTTTTAAAAAAAAGCGGGGTGGGGGGCGGGGAAGGAAATTTAAAGCTACTTCATTTATGATGGATAATGTTTAATGTATTTTCTGCATATTAAGTAGTTTTTGTAAGTAGGGGTAAAGGCTAGCCTGGGCTTAAAGGCTTGAAGCTCAGTGGCTCTCAGCCTTGTTCTGGTCATCACCCCGTTTTAAGCTATGAACGCCTCCTTTTTTATGAATAATTATAATATATCTAGCTAAATGCAGGAACCTCTATGGAAAATACTTTCTCAATAATATTTTAAAGTGCATTATTTTGAGAATTTAAAAATAAAATTACCAAGTACTATTTTTTCACTGTAATTAACTGGAAAATGTAATTTTTTTGTTTTGACCACAGTTTGAGGACCTCTCTAAAACTCCGTTTCCACCAAACACAAATATTTTATAAAACAACTTGAAGCTTCATAACCACCATCTACTCGGCAGAAAAATGGCATTCTGTAGCGGAAACTATTTGGCTTCGAGTTGATGTATGTTTTGTTGAATTTGCTGTTCTTCCACTTCAAAGACTACGTTAATCACGAAAATAGATTAATCACCAAATCGCCCAAACTATCTTTAAAAAGAATTTCCAAATGGAACCAAATGAATAAAAGATAATCGATTTTTAATCTTACCTTTTCTTCTTCTTGTAAAATGAGAAAATGAATGAACCAGGTACTGCGATATGGAAAATATTATTAGGTCTGTTTTTACTCTCTTAGCTAAAAATGTCTTGGAAATTAGTGAAAGTCGATACGGACAATATTACGCTTCAACATAATTAATTTTGATACCAAACTAAGGAAATCAGAAATTTTTGTTCAGTGAGACACATCACCTGCAGCTTAATTAAGAAAATATTTATGTCACTAAGGCAACGACGTGTGTGATGCCTCTGAGGTCAGCACCAAAAATAAGTAGTCAGAATGTTTTAGCCTTCAAAACACTTCGTATCGTCCTCTTATTATTTTTAAAAAAATGTTTCTCATTCCAAGGCCTTAATTCTAATGACTAGCGTATATAACATGCAGCATTGTTTTCACGCACAGACGTTCTGGGAAATGTAAGTCAATGAGACGTTAGTTTACATTTAGATCATTGTTTCAATTGCCGGCATTTAAACAGGTGGTTACTGAGTTTTTTTTTAGCGACGAATGTTGGTGATGAATTGCAAAATAATAAGGTAAAACATTTGGCACTGTCTTTTTCTTGTTGTTTCTGCTTCATAACTAGGGGCAACCCAAAGGAAGCGACCAGACATCGATGGGGCTTCACCAGTTACAATAGATTACTAAATAGAACCTCATTTTCGTTCAAGTACTGCTCAACAGCGTGCAATATTGACGAATCCAAACTGTCAGGTGACATAACGTACGTGATTGAAAAGCAAACAATAAAACAAAATCTACAAAGTCCACTGATACAGCTGCAGTGCAAACTCTGTTGACTTTGGGATGCTCAGAGCCTACTTGAAAGTCTTTGGGCCATTTGTCACTTTAATGTGCTACCAAGCATCTCGCCTACCAAGTTTAAATGTATGGATTTAAATCGCCGAATGTACTGTTTCAGAAAGTTAAAGCTAAGGTCCTTAACGTTAAAATTAAAATAATATACTATCTCAGTCTTGCGACTCTGAATGTCGAAACGTTGAATCTGTTGTGTTGTAAATTATCCACTCATGGCAATGAGTGTCTACTTTTCGGGCCGAGTCTCTCACTTGATCTCACGAACAGTATAACCAATAGCAATAGTTTCTAATTCAACAAACACTTTACGGTTTGTTGCAATATATGAATTTATTTAAGAACAATTCCTTAACGAGGGTTGTGATATAATTACAGATTACTCATCCAATCGGTTCAGCCTAACACACAGCAACACAAGTACAACAGTCAAAATATTATATCTCCCATCAATCTTCCATCACAACATCTAGCCATATCTTGAACAGTGCTCAACGGCCATCTCTACCTTCCCAACCACACAACTAAAACTCACGCGTCATATCCCCTTACACAATTACGTCACAACACTCTCACATGAACGATACAGCGACACGTAAAATCTCTAACTCAACATCTTTTCCCTATCGAACATGACAACAATGCTCTACACATAACGACCTTGATTCTCATACCCTTGACACTCTGTACTAAGAGAAACTAAAATGTATTTTTAACAGATAAAATATTTCTATTGCTTTTACATTTTCCCAGCGCCCTCTGAAATCTGGCAAGGTTTTCGGCGCCACCCGGGCAATCCTATCACCCCATCATCTGCGGCAACACCTTTTTTGAGAACTACTGTTCTAGCTAAACCGCTCTGTCCCAACCAACTTCCCTTCTCCCTCACCAAACTCACGTGGAACAGCTACACAAAATATCACCATGGTGCTGTCAATAAGATCCGATTTCAATGTTTTGTCTCGAAATTCAAAATTTTTAGGGTAACTCAATCAATAAGTGAACATAAATTGTATTAGAGTCTACATTTAAGTACAAACATTAACATAAACTGTAAAGAGTATTTATGCTTATAATGCACCCCCCCCCTCCAATTGGCTTAAATAAATTATACACGATATTTTAAAATATCCACAGTGGCAAAATTGATCGAATACGATTCGCTGCGCCCCTAGCCAGGTCTGAAAACACCACAACACAGACTGTCCTGTGCTACGGTTGTAGCTATGTTGCTGTGCAGAGATTAATACTTTGCGGAATTCCCGTTTTCTGCTTTTTCACATTTTAAGTAAGTTAAGATTTCTAAAATTTCTAGCCGAATTTAGGATAAATGTATGGATACTACTGTTTTATATATATATATATATATTTATTCATATATATAAGTGCAAATTTGTGGGTTTGTTTGTGGATTTGTTTGTTTGTTCCACAAAGGCTTTTAAATGGATTGAAGGATCTTATATATCCATCATTATCCAGAATCAAATATTTGGGGGGGAGGGGGGGGGGGAGGTATGAAATTTTTAAAACATTCCGTTTGGTGCGGGGGGGCCGAATTCGTTTTTTAATTTTATGTTTGTTTGTTCCACAAAGGCTTTTAAATGGATTGAAGGATCTTATATATCCATCATTATCCAGAATCAAATATTTGGGGGGGAGGGGGGGGGGGAGGTATGAACTTTTTAAAACATTCCGTTTGGTGCCGGGGGCCCGAATTCGTTTTTTAATTTTATGAGCTATATGAATAAAATGAACAAAATATACTCCTACATGAATATATGGTTCTTAACCAAACTTAGTACACATACACTTGATTATCCATTTCAAATACCGAAGGATAATGAACTCATAATATCCACTCCTTTGGGGGCCAGCGACCCCATTTCATGTTTCTTAATATAAGCTATATAAATACCAATAGGCTTAGATAACACTAAAGGTTCCATGTGAATTGATGAATCTAGGCCTAACTTGGTACTAATACCTCTCACAGTCCGTATTTCATACTCCATCATTTATCTATGTAAAAGGGAACGGAATCTCAACGGGTTCGGGATCGCATCGAAAAATGGGATCCAATCGGGGAAACAGGATTCCACCGGGATGGGGATCCAAATGTGTTCGTGATCCCACCGGGAATGGGATTCCATCGGGATATGTGATCCCATCGGAAAACGGGATACCTTTGTGATTGGGATCCGAATGGCACTAGGAAAGGCAACTGGAACGTGATCCCCCCCGAGATTGCTTAGGCAATTAAAAGGTAAAAAACTCGATGACAGTTATAGAAACCCTAGCAACTATATCCGGCGTCGCCCGAGATTGCATTCTAAAAAATACTTTTTAACACCTTTTTAGCTAATATCGAAATTAATGGCCCCGTAAAAAAAACAAAAAAAAAAACAAAAAAAAAAAAAAAAAAAAAAAAAAACAAAAAAAAAAAAAAAATAGAAACCCGAGCAACTATATCCGGCGTCGCCCGAGATTGCATTCTAAAAAATACTTTTTAACACCTTTTTAGCTAATATCGAAATTAATGGCCCCGTAAAAAAAACAAAAAAAAAAACACAAAAAAAAAAAAAACACACACGCCACTAAAGAAAAAATTAAACTTTTACATTTTCACTTATAATGAACACATTATAAAATTCGATTCGAAAAGAATCGCATTTCCCTTTCGAAAATCCCGTTCGCTAGTGGGATCCCTTCCCTGTTGTACTCATACCCATTGGGGTACCGTTCCTTGATTGGATCCCTTATCCCATTGGGATTGTGTTCCCTGATGCGATCCTATTCCCTAATTGGATCCCATTCGTTTATGGGATCCAATATCCTGTTGGCTGAAAAATGGCTGAAAAATTCTAGATTTAATTTTATATATATATATATATATATATGAATATATATATATAAGAATGAGCTAGAGGGACATAACGCCAAAATGGAGATATGGTATAAGTACGTTCGGATTCCTAAAAACAAATAATAGTTATTTCCTATTATTTTACGTAAATCTAATAAATTTAAATGCGAAAAAAATATTTTAAATCCGCTTTCATTTTAGTAAACGTTTAAGTATTATTATTATAAATTACAAATACATTTAAAATATCAACTAAAGAACTATTTTTGGCATTATATGTGTTTAAAAGTTATGGAAAAAAATTAAAAAATTAAAAATCATGATCAAAGAATTACACCGTAATCACATTTATCGGGAAAACCCAAGCTTCATTCGTTTATAGTGCGTTTTTTAGTGCGTTGTTAATATTGCGAAATAAAATTTTAAATCAATTTGTTCTAAATAATTCTAAATAATCACGCACATGACGTCATAGCGCGAATAGCCTATTTCTCCAAAAATCTTAGTTTTCTTTAAATTTAATAACCATGCGTGACAAAGCAGATAAAGTATTTTCCCATCTTAAAAAGAAAAATTAATCAATACAATCAATTACTTTTTAAATTGTTCATAAAACACACACACATTTCAGATGTTTATATTTTAACATTTAAAAGTTTTGCCTGTTTTTTTTCTCCAAAAATATCCTTCAATTATTATAAAGGAATATAAACAAACCTTTCAATATAATTCTAATAAGAAAATGCGGTTTAAGTCAAACGGTGCAGCGCAACTCCATAGCTAAATAGTATTGACTAACCCTTATAACTAAAACAAAAAAGAACGAATTATATGAAGTGCACATTATTTTTGTTTGGGTATGGAAGGGAGTAAAATCAGGTGGAAGATTTTTCTAAATTCATTTAAATCTGGGTGGAGGAGGGGTTGGTCACTTGCCTCAGGCAGCACATGATACTTGTCAAAATAAAGGAATGAATTTGATAAATAATTAACCTTCTTGGTTACATTCATATCGGAGGTAGGAAATAGGATGTGTACATTTTTACTTGGATGACAATGTATTTAAATCCTATGGTATTACATTTGGGAAAAAAGAGATGTTACATTCCCTTTTTACAAATATGTGTATGTTCATTTTGCTCAAGGCAGCATAAGATACGTCTCAAAATAAAGAAATGATTATTATAAATAATTACTTTTCTTCCGTATATACATGTCAGAGGTAGGAAATAAGATGTGTACATTTTTACGTAGATTACAACGTAGTTAACTCCTATGGTAAAACGTATGTGAAAAAAGAGATGTTACATTCTCTTTTTACAAATAAACATATGTTTACCTATTAAGAAATTCAATGGCGTTAACAAATCTTGGGTACATTTATAAAAGTATACCCATGAATTTCAAAGCCCAATCATTTTACACACTTGAGAAATTTGAAAAAATAGAGATTGTTTAATATTTACTTTTAAAATCATAAAATTTATTTTTGCTTTTACTTTGCAAAAAGTAAAGAGATGTGTATTTTATGAGATTAAGAATTTAAATTAAAAAAAACAAAACAACAACACTCGCATCTGTTAAAACGATTGCGCGATTCTTCTTTAGATAAAAGAATTTTTTGTTTTACGATTTTCTGATAATATATAATTTAAAAAAAAAAAAAATGCAAAAAATGTGTTTAAATTTTTGCTGAAGATATATATCGAATTCCTATAATATAAATTATTTTGATGTATATTTTATAGAGTTTTCGGTGTAAATTTAAGGTAATTTTTTAAAAACAATTTTTAGAAAAAAAAAGTTGTAATTCAAGGGCACAAAAGGGTTAAATCTAAAGTATTTCTCTAACGTAGTAATTGTCTCTCAATTAACTTCTTTAGTGACAAAAGGGATATAATTAGTAATAATTTAGACTGTGTATTTTACGGTCATGTTTAGAGGGGAAAAAAGTAGTATTTGAGGGTGAAAGGGGGTAAGGTAGTCCTATAATATTTAGCAGATAAATACTTCTCAAAACTTAATGATGTTAGAAACGTAAATATCATTACATTTTTAAAGTTATGAAGTGTGATGAGTTTTTGCAATAGCAGTTAGAAATTATCGCAAAGGATCTACCTTTATTATCCCGATAACATCGGGGTATTTATTCTAAATATAAACTTGTGAAAAATGACTCCTCTACTTCTACGTATTAGATTTATGAATACGAATTTTTTTTTTTTACTGCAAAAAGTCATAAAGTATAACACGTTTTAATTTGAGTTAAAAAGAGAGGCCCGGTGTGGGCCTGTCCACAAAGTGCCATCTTAGTCATGGATAATACGGGGCTGGAGGTCACATGAAGTCATTCAGGTAAATAGAGTTGAAATTTTATAGCTGTACTGTTAAAATCGGTTGAAAAATGGCGGCGACCTAGCCTTTGAAAATTTTAGACCGGCCCGAAATAGACTGTATGCTATTAGGCTACTTTTAAATTCACCCTAATTTCATTATTGGACTATGAAACAGTGGCGTAGCTAGGGGGGCGCGGACACACCCGCTGTCAACATCTCAGGGGGGGGGGGCACTCAATTGAAAAATTGTATATTTGCAGAGCACACACTGGTCGTACAACCGATTTTTATAAATGGATAACCAATTACACAGTCATTTTTCACACATGTAAACAATCCCAATGCTTGATTTATTAAAAGTTGTATAATGATGGGTCAGAAATGAAGTGACCCTATAATTAGGTCAGAAAAACACCTTTTAAAAATGACTTTTTATCCATCTATAGGGCTAACCAGTGATGTAGCTAGGGGGTACGAACCACAGTGGGTGACACAAACCCAGGGGTGACACCAAATTTACAAATTGCATATTTACACGCACTCAACGCTCGGTCTAATGGAATTTCTTAAAAGGATAACTGATCACACGCACATTTTCCACACGTGTACCTTATCCCAATGATGCGCCAGAAAAACCTTTTTGACCATGATTCATCGCCTACTGAAGTGTTCGGTATCTTTTATAAATGACAGGAAGCAATAGTTATATAAATTCTGAGAAATAAAGCTTTCCACTGAAACCAAATATGATATGGTCGGACGATTTCAAGTAAATGAATCGAATTGGTAAACATTTAAAGCATCAACAATGAATTTTTACCCATTTTTAAGGTAAAAAAAAATAATGTTTTTCAAAATTCTCTAATAATTGTTAATAATTAATTTAAATATATTGAAATTTTAAAAAAAAACAACATGTTTTTGAAACCAAATCTATCGAAACCAAGAGATCCTCAAAAATATTTTTTTCGCGGATTCGTTACTAGCACCACCTCTCAACATTAGAGCACGATTGTTAACAGCACAAGATCTTTTACATGCTGTCTGTGATTTCACGTTACCTTTGGGATTATCTACTTTAAGGAACTTAATTTTAAACAGAAGTATCTGCAGACAAAAGGCTTTACTTTTGACAAAGTGGTGACCAACCGAGTGGTCTTAAGATTGTTTCTGCATGAAAAGCGCTTTCACTTTGTGGAACATGCTTTTGAAAATGTACTTTTAAAATCAGACTCATATGGAATTTTGGTAGAGAGAACACAAAGGTTTAAGAAGAGAATGAAAGAAGATCAATTTAATAGATGCCGCACTCTCTCTGCGAGAAGAAAAGAGAAGGGAGATGCGACTGTGCATTGCTCGCTTTCATTCTGAACTCCAGATCAAATCATTAGTGATCAAGTAAGCAGCAGATATGTTTGGGGCTGTTCAACTCAAGAACTACTATCAGCAAGTGAAGAAGAGTTATTGGTGTGCGTTCCAAAATTAACTTCTTTCTATGATGAGTTATCAGAGGACGAACTCTCAAAAGAAATACCTAGGCTTAGAAGACATTAAAGGCTGTTGATATTGACTTTTACAAATGCAAGGACTGGTCATTATTTAATTTTTTGAAATTCACAGCTGATTGGGATGTCCTAGAATCTCTTCCAATACTCTCGCTAGGCCTTCCATTGTCCTCTTCTTCTATATATTAAAGGCCCGCAATCAATTTAGTGATCATTCTCGGTCTTATCTGTGTGTCTGAGGCATCATGTGAGCGGAGCTTTTCAAAACTAAGGCTTGGCTTATCAAGACCTATTTACGATCCACCATGGGAAGTCAAGGCTTTCTGATCTGGCTCTACTATCAGTTGAAAGTGATACGGTGAAGGATATTGAATTTGATCAGGTGATTGACAGATTAGTAACTTTGAAGACAATGAAAGGAAAATGTTTAATAAAGTAAATTTAATGTAAATATAGCTATAACTTAACGTTATTACTTATTCCTCTATATTTCAAGTGCTCATGATCAATGTATTGATAATTCTTGCTCATATACATTTTGAAATACAGTTCTTAAATGCGTTTACCTCCTGACCTGTAATTCATTTGTTTTTTGTTCTTGCCATTGTTATACAGTGGACTTATTTTAACAATAACAAATCCATCTTGAAAGTCGTTGGAGGGGGGCCATTCTGATTTTACCGCAAAGGGGGACACCGACCCTAGCTACGCCTCTGGTATGAAGGATTATGTCTACCAAGTATGGCCTAGATCGATCAAATTACCGTGGAAGCACTTGTTATTAACGAAGTCTATGGATATTTATATAGCTCATTTAATTAAAAAAAAATAAAATTGGAGCCCCAGCCTCAAAATAGTGGATAATATGAGTTCAGCACCCTTCAGTATTTGAATAAGGATAATGAAATGCATGTTCATTTAGTTTGGTCTAGATCAGTGGTTCTTAACCTTTTTGGAAGTTCCGAACCCCACCAGTCCCATACGCGCATTCACCGAACCTTCTTAATAGGAAAAATAAAATATGATTTTTTTTTTCTGATTTTTTTGGGACCTCCGCCGAACCCCTGAGACTGATTCACCGAACCCCTGGGGTTCGATCGAACCCATGTTAAGAACCAGTGGTCTAGATTCATTCATTCATACATGAGTATTTATTGATAATTTTATTTACATAGGCTCTAGTGGGGAAAATAGAATATAAGGCCTCCCTGGTCCCAAATGGAATACTATGTAAATTTCAAAACCTCCAAGTAATTAATTCTGGAAAGTGAAGAATATGTGTGCCAAATTTAGTCATGAAACATCAATCTATGCCATCTTAAAAAAAAAAAAAACAACAACCAAAAAACCCATTCCATGTTAAATTCGCCCTTGTTGAGGCGCTCATTCTCAACATTTTCTATGTTTTTGAGAAAACACCACACTATGTTAAGGCGGGATCAAATAGTACTACACAACTTAAGGAAAAACCCCAGGGATATCTGTACCACCCCCACCCCCCTCCCCAACCATACTATGAGTCAGCGACCAGGAAGTAATAATTTTTAAGAAAACATTTTAAGCATGCAAACGCTTGTTATACCATATTCTACCTTAACCTTGACTTGTATTAGTCTGATTAGTAAGCTTCATCGCTTTATCTATGTATATACAAATGAATGTCTGTATGTTTGTATGTCTCGTATGCGCTACTACACAATTCATGCGATTGCGACAAAACTTTGGTGAGTTGTTGTCCACATAACCGGCCATTTAATGGAGTAATTACAACCTTTATAAAATTGTCCGTTTTCAGCCGTTTTTTTCCTTATATGAGCTTTGTACAAAATAATTTCCATATGCGCTCCCACGCCATTTATCAGATAAAATATTGGTGAGATGTTGCGAGCAAGCCCGAAAAGGTTGCTAAATTATTACAATCGTTTTAAAATATTCAGTTTTGAGCCAGGGGCCCTATGTTCTTTTTTTCTCATATGACCTATATACATATATTTTCAAACCGTATGCGCTCCTACACCATTCTTGCCATTGCGACAAAACTTGGTGAAATGTTTATGCATAAGACCGTGCATTTTACTACCATTTGTTAGAATGCAATAAAACTTTGGAGAGATGTTGTGCGCACGCCCGCAAAGGTTTTTTAAATTATTACAACCATTTTAAAATATTCCGTATTTAGCCAGAGGACCTATGTTCGTTTTTTTTTCTATATAAGCTAAACAACTATAATTTCAAACAGAGCCAATACACGGATGGATAGCTTTTTAATCTAATACAAACAGTGACATTAAATTGTGTGTGTAACATATTAAGTAGGTTTCTAAAGTAATACAACAATTCTACAATATTCCGTTTGTGGCCAGGGGCCCTAAATTCGTTTTCTACCCTTTTATTATCTGTATATTTATCGCATGCATTTCTATACCATTCAACCGATTGTGATAAAACTTGGTGAATTGATATGCGCACTACCGCAAAAGTTTCTAAATTAGAAAAAAAAAACATTTTACAATAATCCGTTTGGGCCAATGAACCTAATTTCGGTTTTTCTTCTAAGAGCTTTATAACTATAATTTCAAACAGAGCTATGGCATGAGTGGATGGAGCTGAATCCGCCGGCCAATTTTTCTAATATAGTACAACCATTTTACAATATTCCATTTAGGGCCGGGGGCCATAAATTCCATTATTTTCTTATTCAAACTATAAAAATAAATATTCAAACAGAGCTGTTTCATGGGTGGATGTAATTGAATCAAATATAATAAAAAACACGACATTTCTGTTTCTGTGTTACATAATAAGGAGGTTTCTGAATTAATGCAACCATATTACAATATTTGGGCAGGGGGCCTTAAATTCGTTTTGTTCTCCTAAATGAGTTTCATCAATATAATTTAAAACGGAGCTATCAACTTTATCGTCCTTGAAAAAATGCAAACAGACAGCAAATTTGTAGTAAAGCAGAGAAAACTCGTTTTTGCATTTTTAGTGTACAGAGTATTTTTTTGTTATTTTTATAAATAAGTTTGAATTTTGTGACGGATTTTACAATCGGATATGACGTTGAAAACGTCTTGTTTTTTAAATTAAAAGTATTTCTTAAAAATATAGTCTTATAATTTCAAAGTTGTTTTGTGTTATGTAAAGACATTTTACATCAATCGATGGTTTCTCAAGTAATTAAATAACATACTAGACAACGTAGGTAATGAACTATGGTAATATCGAGGTTTTTACGCTGGAATTTATGATCTATAAACTAATGTGAAGCTGTACAACTGGAACTCTACTGCCAACAATGAACGTACCTATTGTGCGAGGTTATCATGTAAAAAGGTGGGAGATCTTTACGTGTGAAAATTATCAACATTAGGTCTATCGTATATAAATTGAATCAAATACAAACAGCGATATTTCATTTTGTGTGTGACCTAACAAGTTGTATTAATTGTGAAATGCCATTGCTAATAACAGATATCACATGCATTTGTAATATTCGTCACAAAGAAATACTTTTGCTGTCAAATCAATTATGCCACACAAACGAAAAGCTATTGGTTTTTCTACACCTAAAGCACGAAAGAAAAAGTCATCACGAGCTTCAGAAACATTCGAGCAACGAGAGGCAATACGGGAAACCGCTCGAATACGCAATGCTCAAACCCGTTCTTCTGAAACATTCGAGCAACGAGAAGCAGGACTGGTAACCGCTCGAGTACGCAATGCTCAAACCCGTTCATCTGGAACAGTCGAGGAACGTAAAGCAAGACAAGAAACCATTCGAGTACGCATTGCACAAACCCGTTCATCTGAAACAGTAGAGCAACGGGAATCAAGACGCGAAACCGCCCGAAAAAGCAATTCTGAAACCCAGTTGTCTGAAACAGTCGAGCAGTGAGAAACAAGACTGGTTTCCGATAGAGTACGCAATACTCGATCCAGACGAACACTGCACGCTAAATTAAATCTTAGTGCATTCCATCACGATGGTAATCATGATTACAGTCTTCATCTATGTGTGGTTATTGTAAAAATGGATCCTCTATGCGTGTATTGCAGTGCCCTCATATTTAAAATGTAAAAAAAGAGAAAATTTGCTGCGTGGGTGGGAAAGTGAAATTTCCAGAATTACATTCACCACCGGAACCATTATCGACGTTGGTATCAGGTGACACAAGCCAATCGAAATATTTCTTGGCAAACATACGCATGTACAATTCATGTTTCCAAATGACATCGTTCGGTGCAACAAATATCGTACGCGAGAATTACATACCAACATTTTAAGTGCAAGGGCCAATTTTCATCGTGCAAGGTCTCTGTTGCCACTGCCAAACACAGATACCACGGGTAGATATATTATCCTCATTAGCTTAACATTTTTGTTGTGTTCTTCTAATTCTGCCTTTTGGATTTTATTGCGATTCTGTAATTTGGGCGTTCTTCTAATTATAGCACTTGGTGTTCTTCAAATTCTATACCTTGGGAAGTGTAATTCTATCTTTTAGATATGACCTCCACATTTAATTTTGGTAAAGATTCATTTGCGTCAAAATGTAAATAAAAGGTAATTTTAAAAATTGGATGCCAGAGCGACAAAGCTAGGGATCCTAACAATATTCAATTTAATTATACAAATAAATTTCTATAGAAATACGAATTTGAATTTTGAGCAAGAAAAAAAAAAGACTATTTCAAATTACAGCAAGTGAAAAGGTACACGCCTCAAAAATACAAATGGGAATTTACACGTACAATTATATAACGTCTCGTATATATTAGGAGAAATTAAAAACAATCTCTCTCTTGCTCTATCTCCGTGTTAAGAAACTTGGCCGCCAATATATAGGGAATCAACCAGCACGATCTAGTTAAGAAATTCTAGAAATTGCGACACACGATGACATTCTTCAGAACAAATAGAACACATTCGAACGTAAACAACATGTTCCCAACCAAGTGAGAGTGTTGGTAAGGCAATGGAACATTAACGCGGTGACGTCAAAATCAAGGGCATATTAGGGGAGACAAGCGGTTTTGGCTAAAGATAGATCTAATATGAAATGCAAAAATAGGTCTAGACATATGCTTTACTAGGCAATTAATAAGAATATAACTGAACTTGTTTTATAATGAAAAAAGTAATTTCTGAGATACTATATTTAACTATTTGATATCTTATGGATAAAAACAAGAGCTGTTACAATTGGAGCTGTTATGCCTGAAGGGTATCAAGAAAAACGCTTTCAGCTTTAATATGCTGCCGTGTGCCAAGTTATGCTGATGACCAACAGTTTTGAATATCCAAGAGTAATTGAGGTCTGAGAACTATAGCATTTATTTGTGAGCACAAATTAGGGAAAAAGGGAAAATATAGAATGGCCAGAAGCGACAGTTGAAAGAAGTCTTGTAATTTTGCCTTTTACAAGTCGGCTCTCCCCTTGGGCGATCTTCTTACGCATATCGGGCTGGTCGCATGGTCTTCCCTGAAATAGGAAATGCGTGGACGTGTAAGAGAGCGTTGAGTCAGCGTCACGTGACGGCCAATCGCAGCGCATGAGCGGATGAGTAACCAGCCTAATCGAGTCGCAGCGCGCCCCTTTGTCCTACTTTTTAATTCAATGTGTGTACATGTGCTATAATAGTGGGGATTACCCAATTTATCACAGACACACGCATAGTACTATACGCCTGTGTGTAACCCATTTACTGTTAAGTGGCACATTGCCATACGCATAACGAGAAAGATACACGTTTCTAACATATATGATCGATTACCAGATGAAATAAGTGGAATTAAATTGAAACTGTCGCATATGTGAGATTTATCTCAGTGGACCTCAGCCGAATTAGAAGAGTGTAGGATGCTTTAATCAATAAACACGCTCAGTAAATAAACTCTGTTTATTTAAAATCTCAATGCTGTCAAGAGATGAAGTCATAAATATCTTTCTTTTATTGTCTCTATTTCAGATCACGTTAGTGTGATGATAGTCTTCAAACAAGAGCTTTCTTCCACCAGTTACATACGTAAAAATGTGTTTGTACCGATCAAGTAAATTAATGTCAATTATTTTCATATATTTTTTCGCCATTTTGCTCCTTGAAATTGAAAATGTGCAAGAAATAGGCGAAATCGGAAGACATTTAGTCCGCTTGATTAAAGACCATTGCAAAGTTCAAGAAAGAAACCGGTCAATGGAGCTAGTCAGCAAGGTTGAGTCTACAATGACGATTGTTGACATTTTCTCACTCTACTTGCATAAAGTTCAAGGTCGAACCAAAGATAAACGAGAAACCTATTTGGTGTCCCATGCAGAAGCAGATCTTACATCAACATTAAGTTTTCCCCCCGATATTAACGATAACGATCTAAATAAACTTTTAATGTTTTTAACAATGGTAAGTATTGTGTTGTATAGTCAAAACCTGCTTAATCTGGAAATACCAGCATGTGGTGAGACCGGTGGTTATTCGGTTTATTCTCAAAAGAACTCGTTATTCAAACAGCTGGTATTTTCCAATCTAAACACCTCCCTCTCCAATCTGAAAGCCCGAGTGTATAATACGGACATTAGAAAAATCCGTGCACCAGTATTTAAGGACACGGGCCGTTTTAACGATGCCTTCAAGCATCATCCCTTTCCAGAATGGTTATTTTCTTTTGATGGCAACGTACGGAGCACAGTTGTGAACTTATATCCTCTGCAGAGTTTTTTCCGACTGGCAAGTTTTCGCCCTCTCTCAACGACGCCATCGTCCAGTCCGGGACTCTACTGCAAGCTGTCCAGCGCAGGATTTAGATATACCCGCGATTCAATCGTTGTCTGTGAAAGTTGTAACAAGCGAGAAGATATTAAAAATTTTAATTCCGATCCGAGTTGTCCCGAGTACCATGAACCTGGCTGTTCATATGTTGCGTCTGCAACGGCCGGACCGAAACCTACACCAACACGAAGCGACGGAGAATGTCGTGATTTATATGTCGTAGAAAATGACGGACACAACGGTGGATCAGAAGACATTGAAGCGGACGGAGAAATAAGTTGCATGTCAAGCCCACGAGTGAGTAATATACAAACTACGAACAAGGAGCAGACGAGAAATCCCGTCGAGCATTTTCCTAAGAACGATCTGGATAATGTAAATGAAAATGTAAGTCACCTCGGCGAAGTAGATGCTGGTTTTGATGAGCTTCTCTCTTTGGGATCCTCACTGAGTGCTGAAGCAAGCCTCTCATCAACAATTCACAATGAAAGTTTTAGTGATGATGGTAAGTGACGCCAGAAAATTTTCACGTTTTTTTTATCATTACGTACTTACGCCTTGAAGAGCAAAGCATACAATAATAAGCTCACTTTTAAAGAAATCTTACTATTTGCGATACAAGTTTCGTGAATGCAAATTTTCCTCCGTTCCCTAGATGAGTCATCAACTTCTGATTATTGGTCTTTGACCAGTGAAGAAACGGAAGCTTTAACTGTTTCACGTTTAAGAGATGGCCCGCCCAACGATTGGATTGAACCGGACAGAAATACAGGTTAGTAGCTGTTTTGAAAAAATTAATAACTTGTCTTACCAATGAATGTAAACACGATACGCACCCTAGAGCAATATTCACATATAGCTGATACTCTTGGTTGAGTGAGAATTCATGTACCTTTTTTTTCTGTACAACAGCAACTTTTGAGAAATGTGACAATCTGATATTTGTGGCATGTTTAAATTATTATATACCGTTCCATTTAATTGGGACAACAACAGATGTAAACACATTCATTACAACTTTGTTACGAAGATTAATGGACAGAGCTTATATAATAAGCTAGTTCAATAAATAAAATGGAATGGAATTGTGTAATATAAAATCTTGAGCTCAGTTCAAACATTCATAACTTGTAGGTACACATAATTATTGTTTAATAAATAGCCATGAGCTCCTAATTATTGTTTTTGTAATTCATCACCTGTTTCATAACTCCAGTTGAGAGCGAGTTCTTTGTTCCTGAAAGAGTTGGCGAACTTTACGAGTTGAACTTTGTCTTGGAGTCGGCGAAACCAACATGTCAGAAGAGTCCTAATCATTTGGGATTCGTTAGGATGAGACATTTAACCCTTGAAGCGCTGCCCAAAAAGATAAGATACAGAGAAGTTTTAAATCTAATACGGCACAGCTCTAGACTCGTGGTGAAGCTAATCGTGTCTGTGACGAGCAAGGCCCGAATGACCGACCCTAGTTCACTGGACGCAGGCTTAAGAAGGAGGGTAGGTACTGGAAGTCTATTTGAGAAAAAATGCTTCGTAGATGCGTTAGACGAAACCGCCACCGAAACACGTAAATCCGGGAAGATTTTCATAGAAACGCATCGGAATTTGATCTACAATGATGAGGAGGCCCGAGGTTGTACCGCGTACTTTACATTCGACTCGGACGCTAACTTGGGTCCAAAGAAGCTGAAGGGGGTTAGAATTGAACACAGCCCGGTTCTGGGAGACGATAGATCTTTTCTAGTCTGCACAACCGAGGACCTTGCGTTCTTTGACCTGTTGATCAGGTGGCAGCAGGAGTTCGACAGGCAGGCGGAGCGGCTGCCGCGTGAGATTCAGTCCTGTTTAGTGGGTAGGGTCATCATAGTCAGCTATCCTCACGGCGGTGAACAAATGGTTTCATTTGGGAAATCGACTAGGATGAGCTACGCCATTGCTTCCGTTGAAAGAGATGGGAAAATGAGTCACAATTTGACAGAAATGAGATACAACAATCAAGGTAATTATGGATAAACACAAAGTATGGTTTTGTTATTGATTTTAAATACATCATCTAAACTATACCCAATTTTTGTTTCGTATAAATCCTTTGTAGGCATTATTCATTTAGTTAGTATAATGTCCCATCCGCTTTTACACCGCATATTTATTTCACCAACTTTTCCAGAAAAAAGCTTAATAAAATATAACACATCAAACATACTTGCGCAATTTTTTAAAATGAATCTCATTTAGCGCAGTTATCGGAAATTTTATTTCATGAAATCAGTGGCATCATATTTCCTTTATTTCCCCCCTTGAAAAATAGGAAAAACATATTTTTGTGGGTTGGGGTGGTGTTGTTAGGGCTGAAAATTTAATAGCATTTTATGTCAAAGAGTCTATGTGCCAAGTTTCAGCTCAATAGGTTGACGGGTAGTGGGTCAATTAGCCGGTCCGAAGATTTTGCCCAAAACACACAAAAGAGAAGTTATATAACATTTTTTTAAAGCTTAAATAATGAACATAAATTGTACATTCGGAATGCCTATTCCTGTTTAGTTATATTTTATTGGCAAGTACGTTATTCAGATCGATTCATAGTTAGCCTCAGAACATCGCTCTTTACATGCAAGGGAGTTAAATTAAAAAAAAATTACATCCTTTTAAGAAGAAGAGTTGTGTTATTCCCCCTGAATTCCTAAAATGTGTACTCGAACGTTCAATGATCTGCTCTTAGCTGGATCTGACCATCGGCTCTTCAGACATGTGTTGATGTACACTGCGGATACATGCCCTGGGTGCAGTGGCGCCCCTGTCATTACATTCAAGAAATCCTCGGACCACTATGCTCACGAATTTTGGATGCACCATGGGATATCTGCACAAGACGACTTCAACGTCTCTGTTATGAAAGGTATTGTATTGATGTCACCACTTGGTCTACTTGTATATAATATTATCGTTCGAAGACAAAAAAATGCCGATAGAGAGATTAAATTAAATAATACCTAAAGAGGTTACTTTTTTTTTTCTTTCTAAAAAGCAATTTATTAAAATGAAATTCATGTAAAGAATCACATTAAAGAGTAAATATATACTATTTTGTAACATTCAACATCATAAAGTACTGAATATAATTAAATATAAAATGACGATGTGCATCATGACACTTAACGGTCTATTTAAATCAACTTTTCTCAGAAGGTTTAGAACCAGTTTTTCAACACATCTGTAGATTTCTCCTAACATAAATTTTGTTTTTTTTAAAAAAAGCTTCGTGCACAAATTTATATAGTTAAGGAGTCCGCGGAGGTCTTTCAACAATTTTGAGGACTCCTTAGAGATGGGCATCGAAACAATTTTTAAAAGTTCGTGTTCGTTTAGGTTCAGTAAAAATTTGAATTCGGGCTCGCTTTGGCTTGGCAACTGCTTAAGTGCATGGTTCGGTTCAATTCGGTAGCAACCGCGATTTGAATTTTGCTTGGTTTTTAATTTGGATAAAAAAAAAAAAACGATAGGCTACATTAAAAGAAAAACAACATTTGCGTTTAAAATAAAAATATTGAAATTCACTTAAAATGTGTAGAATATATTTTCTTTAGCTATCATGGACAACGGGATTTATACAATTATAAATGAAGGGGTGGGCCACTAGAAGTTTAATGAAAAAATAAGTAAACATAAATGTGTATTTGGGTTTAATTTGAGTGTTTTAGGCTTATTAATAGTGCGATGCAAAAAATAGTTCATTAATCCTCTAAAACTAGAATGCACACTGAGAATTTCTTGCACAATGGGTTTGAGTTTTAAACAAATTCTAATTTTGTTTGTCTCTGAATGATACACGTAAATGGCACTGGATAGAAATATTCAACTACAATGTTTTAATTTGTCAACATTAATAAAAATTAAGTCTATGCTTAAAAATATCATTTTGGCTTTAGAAAAAAACAACAACAAAAAAAAACAACAAAAAACAACAACAGAAGAAGGCATTGCAATATTTATGTTTTGTAGTTTTAATTAAAATAAAACATTTCTGGCAAAGTAGGGATGTGCCAAATTCGTAAAACATTGTCGGTTCTGACAAGTTTGCGATATGCCCTTTCGCTTTGGTTCGTACTCGTTTAATTCGGGTACGGTCGTCAGTTTGGCAGTAAGGTTCGCGTTCGGTGTAATCGGTTTGGGTTTGGTTCGATTCCCGACTCTAGGCTCACTGCGGTGAACGCGCTGAGAAAAGCTAATTTAAAGGATATAATTTCATTTTTGTTGTTTGTTTTAACTTTGAAAAATTTCATTTAAAACCTAAAAAAAAAAAGAATGACACGAGATTAACAGCAACTGAGCCTAGGAAGCTATCCTCGAGGAATTTGCAGACACTGATGCGCATGTCCAGTGCTGTGGTGAAGAATCATGCGCACTTGATCTGAACTTTTGATGGTAAAGAAGTTCAGGATCTCTTCAGTTGAGTATGCTCTTTGGTTGCAGATTCTAGTCCCTGAACATCTGTAATTTTATAGAGCATACAATTTACATACTCAATCTAAAAAAATAAATTAATAAACCAACAAGCAAACAAAAAAAAAAAAGAAAAAAAAACAACTACAAAAACAAAACAAAATGCAACAGTTGTCACATGTGTTTATTAATAACCATTTTAAGTTAAAAATATTGTCAGGTCAGGAAGCCAAAAGATTGTTTTACATAGCGAAAGCTAAAAAATTGCTAGCAAAAGCTTCTTCTAAAAAAAAAAATATACATATTTTTTTAAAAGTTGGAATAAATTTTAATAAACATTATTTTTCCATAGCGTTTACAGGAGAACAAATTCAGACCTGCCGTCAACTTGTCCTTCCTAAGAGGTCGACACTTGCATCGCCATTCGTGAATCAGGCTATTAACTCGGCAACTCCTTCATGTTCAACATCCCATTCAAATTCTCTCCCATTTAGACTGACCACCGCAGCGTACCCTGTTTATGGTGCTTTCCAGAAGAGATTAGAAAGCTACGGAAATTGGCCCGCAAGTCATATTTTTAAAGATGCAGACCTTGCAACTGCGGGATTTTTCTATGCTGGTTAGGATAAGAAAATTGTTATTGTTAACTTTATTTTTACATTTGTTGGAGTCAAGTTGATAAAAACACGTGATTTACGTCCTGTAATGAGTTAGCAAGATTAGTTAGCTTTAGCAAGATTCGATTAAACTTTATTCATCTCTAAATTTTTGCACACTAGTACTCTTAATTCAAATTCATTGTACATGTTACATGTTTTACATACAATTATTTTATAGAAATGTAATCTCTTCCAGTAAGTTGAATGAAATATCTTGCCCTTAGGGTATACAAATAGACCCCAAACTGCCTAAAGCAATTGATAGTATTAAAAGATGAAACACTGCTTAGTTGTTGTAGTAGTTGGGTTAGCAGTGTCTGATGTAGCAGTATTAGCAGCAGCCTTAAAATAAAAACGACAGTAATAATGATACTGATAGCAAAAATAATACTAACGTTACCATTATTATTATTATTATTATTATTTTCAAAATAAGAATCACTTGAGTAAAAATATACTTTGTTCAGACAAGATGACATATTATGAAGCTTCATCGCAGACTTAACTCAGCGTACACTTTTGTTTGTACAAGGTTATGCTGACTGTGTCCGCTGCTTTCACTGTGGTCTTGGCCTGAGGTCTTGGAAGATGGGAGACGACATTTTTACAGAACATTCGCGGCACAGACCGACATGCGAGTTCCTGAAAGCACAGATTCATTCAAGAGCGAGTGCGAGCCCAACTCAAGATTTTGCTAATGGTCAGCGTTCTTTATGTAAAACAATATTAAATATACAGTAGTTTGTGGCATTTTGGGGGCTGGTAAGAGCTGGAAGTTTCACAACGAAGTCAGATTGAATACAAAAATCGCTGATTTGTGACGGAAGAAGCCATTTTCAAAAATTATGTCTGCCAAGTAAATTAGTTCAGGAGCTCGTGTCCGTGTCATTAAATACAAGCAAACGAAAGAACAGTATCTATTCCTGGTAAGGGCGGCAGCTTACCAACTTTGATTTCGTAATAAAGCAGTAGGCATTAAGATTTGTTTCACTATTTGAAAAAATTCATTATAAGCTTTCAAAGTTTTCCCCTAAATAATAAGTGGTCTCAGGATGAAAGAGTAAAAAAAAAAAATAATAATAAAAAAATAGAAATACATACAAAAAAAAAACCTTAAAAAAAACCCAGCGCTTTTATTAAAATGCACATAAAGGTAAGAAGCATTATTTTTGAGACACACAAAAAGTTTGTTACAATTACATGTCTAAAAAAAATAAAAGTGTAATCCCCAAACATGGTAAGGACTATTAAGATTTGTTTCACTATTTGAAAAAATTCATTATAAGCTTTCAAATATTTCCCCTAAAAAAAAAATGGACTCAGAAAGAAAAAAAAAAAAAAAAAAATAATAATAAAAAAATAGAAATACATACAAAAAAAAAACCTTAAAAAAAACCCAGCGCTTTTATTAAAATGCACATAAAGGTAAGAAGCATTATTTTTGAGACACACCAAGAGTTTGTTACAATTACATGTCTACAAAAAATAGAAGTGTAATCACCAAACATGGTAAGGACTGCTACCAGAAAGAAATGCTCAGCATTCAAGAGAGACTGTCGCTGAACGCCTTTTAAATTTCAGACAAATTTCCAAAAGTGATCTCCATGTTTCAGAAGCTAAAATTTATTTAAAATCTTCATGTTCTTAGACGCCCCACAATGTTAAAGGAAAAAAAAAACACACAAAATGTCGGCACAGCAGTCTCCATGTTTGTTCTACCACCCTTGTCTCTTAAGTTTTTGTATAGTAGGCCTACTCATTTTAAGGGATGGGAGTTTTATTATTTCAGTAGAAATGATCAGAACGGGACAGACATATTGAGAGGAAGAATTAGCAATGTAGAGAAATCACAAGATGCGTGAAAGTAATCAGGATTTGATAAAAAGATCTCTGTTTCATAAGCGTGGCGTCACTTGTCTTAAAGTCGTAGAGAATTTTTTTTATAAAGTACTTTTGAATAGTTCAGCTTTAATGTGGAAAAAGTATTTGCAAATACACGTTCACGTAACTAAGAGAAATAATAGTAAAATAAAAAATATTTCCGATTTATATTTAGATTTTTTGGGGGGATACACGAATCCCATAATAACTTATAACTTACTTTGTTAGGTTATCGTATGTTCATAACACGTTGAGCTACTCTGATTTTACTCAAAATTCGTAATGCGTTAACTCGTTTAAAAATAGAAAAAATAGAGATCAGAAATGGTTGATGAATATAGCTGAGTTATAAATTCTTTTAAGTTGATAAATGTAACATATATCCACAAATTTAGGACAAAAGTGTGTAAATTATATTTTTATGTAAAACTTTTTTTAAAATTTTTTTTTTTACATTTATATTTTCCCTCAACTTGTTTAAATATTATATAAGTAAACTAAACACTATCTCAGAATATTTGTCTACTTCAGAGATGCTGACCAACAATGCTAGAAGACCAGTGACGGATAGCCCCAAGACTCTGACCATGATGGTCACAACCGAACAAACCCCCACGCTGCCGCGACATTCACCCAATACACCATCGAACGAATATGACAGAGGACACGAAGCGGAGGAACGCATCGCGGGACTGACAGAATCACTTCAGAACGTTGACTCGACCAGTCGGGATTTAAAGGATAGTCTAGAGAATCAGAAAGGTAAGTGTTTGAAAAAAAAAGATTTTTTTTTTTACCTGGTTTAAAATAACCACAACAGATCAGTTGCGCAATATTACGAAAACTAAAGTTTAACAGTTATGTTTAATTTATTTAAAAAAAAAAAAATTACAACAGAGACTGGCTATTCGTTATTATAAATTTGAATGTTGCATTAAAACTGTCTACAAACTAATATTGACTGCTAATATCAGATACGTTCGCAAAGAGCACAATGCAGAATAACTTACTTGCACAAAAAAAAAACCACAAAAAAAAAAACAAACAAACAAACAAACAAACAACAACAAACACACACACACGCACGCAAATCACGCCTAAATGGAAAGCCATGAATATAGACAACGTAACATTCAAGTATTAAGGAGATTATAGAGAGATACAGAAAGAGAGAGAGAAAGAGAGAGAGAGAGAGAGAGAGAGAGAGAAAGACAGAGAGAGACAGAGAGAAAATGTATGGTTTTGATAATTAAAAAGACGACGTGACGTCGTTGAAATAACACCTTATCATCTCCTGGCAAATAAAATCGTTTTCATCTACATACAAAAATACTACCTTATATGCTCTCGTATAAGTCACATGAGTGCATAGGTTGCATACTTAGTTTGTGAACTAACATGATTTTGTTTACAGGTCAATAAAACTAATATTTATTTAAAAAATGACATGACATTGGGGTAGAAAAAAGGTGGACCTATACTTGAATATATACGATACACTCGATAACACACTAGAAGAAAAACAACAGGAACTATTCTTCATAAGATCTAATCTAACTCATTCCATCGGCTCAATTCATTTTTCAAGGTAAAAAAAAACAACATTTGAATATGTAGAATGTTTCTAGTGTGGCTTCATTTAAAAATTAAATCGGATACACTATGAGAAGACGCATCCATTGGATAATCAACATCCTACTGCTATAGCTTGTGGTTTTTTTTTTTTAGATTCCGTAAGACGATCATTTTGACAATAATTCAGAAAAAAACAAAACAACTTCAAATAACGGGAGTGATCCCGTCGGATGGCAGCTCCATCAAAATTGGGTAATTTGTTCTTTGCTTAAAATGCTGCTATCAGTAACAGACATACATTTTGTATCTGTGAAATAAGCGTCAATTGATGGATAAGCCGAACCGTGACCAGCTAATTATCATGCTTTCAGGCCAGTGTTTAAAAAATGGCAGTGGCTGGGGTGGGGGTGGGGATTAAGACATCATACATTTAAACCTGACTGAGCGTACGATACTGTTTTGGACAACTGGACACAATAATGAATATTTGGATGATAAATGAAGGACTGTGTTCAAGATGTGTGAAGGAGAAAATAGAACAAGGTATTTGGAAGCTTGAAATAGAAAAACAGGGCACATGTCGTATTCTTATTTGCCCTGTCTGTCCCAGAAAGGCTCTTATCCGAAACGTTCTTATCTTATTGTCCTGTCTTTCTATTCATAGTTTCCACATACCTTGCTCTACTATTTAATATTTGCAGGAGAATACACTATAAACTATTACTTACAATTCCATGACACATTGGGATTTTATTTAGAAAATTTAGCCGAGCGCCTCCTGCAGAGGGAGAACAATGTGCTAAAGGGTCAATTGATGTGTAAGGCGTGTCATGTTAAGCCCATTAAAGACCTGTTTTTACCCTGTGGAGAATTGTACGCGTGTGAAGAATGCTCAGAAAAGTTCTCCAACTGCCCGTCCTGTAACAAGCTCATATTAGGGACCGTGAAGGTCTATTTTACATAAGTGGGTGAGTTTGAAGTTAGCACTTTCAAAGTATACATTTTTGAATAAAATATGTCCAAAAAATATAATAATAATCTAGCACTGGTAGATATGCCAGAGTTGTAAGGTTCATATATTAAAATTTAAAAAAACAACAACATAATTTAATTAGGATGTTTCTTAAAGCAATTTGTTTAGTAGTTTAATCTTCGCATAGTTTAATTAATCCGATCGCCAATAGGACACTAAAACTAGTGCCTTGCATAAAATTCTTTGGCTAAACTGCCATGAAATAACTTTTAAAATATATACACGTGTATTTTATGAAACTTTTATTAATGAGTTTTTTAATTAAATTATGTATGTATTTATTATTATTATTTAATTTGTGTCTCTGTGTGTATGTGAAATCGTTTGTTAAAAAGGAGGCGTGGCCAAATTTATAAAACGATTTCTCTAGCAGAGGAATGTTTATTAATATCCGTATTTCTTTCATTTTTTTTTATTTACAGTCATCAGGAGGTCTTGAAATGAGCAACCGATATCAATATCAGAAGTTGTCACGGACATGAATAGTTTTACTTGCTCGCGTTAAATTTTAACGTTTAAGGGATTAGATGTGCATTACATATAATGTGCGCACTTATTTCTTTTCTTATTAAATCACTGTTAAGAAATATTTATAGACCCGTAAAGAGGGGAGAGGGGTGGGAACTTGATTTCATTTAAGAACCAAAGCTGATCGATCAGTTCCTGTCGTAATGATGAGAGGGCGGTGAACCGCTCGAGATTGTCCCAGGTGACACTCATGGACAGTCGGCCATACGCTATTATGAAATAAATGATTAACCACACCACGACGAGCTGACCGGTCGTGACGGTCCCAAGTCCGTACGAGCCAACAAGGACGATCACAGATGACCCCAGAGGAAAGGAAGAATCAGTTTGAAAATTATGTTTGGATGTTCTTTTCAGTGCAGCTCTGTGTTTAAATCTGCGTGTAGTTAGACTACCCGTTTGTTTAACTTATAAATCACAATCATTTAATAAATCCTTCCCCGGTTCACAATCTTAAATCTATTGTATTCCAATATAAAGCAACCCCTTTTTTCAATCATACCCAATTGGCGTCCATAGATGTGATGTTGTCACAACAGAATGTTGAAAATGAAATTGTTCCGTGGACGCTCATAAATCTATCCATTACTATTTAAATTAAGTTTATTATTTTGTAAAAAAATATATCTCTTTCCACCCGTGTCCTCTGCCCTAAATATATATCTGTAAAAAGTGAGTCTGTTTGTGTGCTTAGTTTGAAGTGGTTTTTTTTGGGGTTTTTTAAAGTTTCACGTTAAGATCAGCAAACACGCAACAGCGACATTAACATGTGAAGCCACGTTTGATCAAAATGTCTATGTTTAAGTACGCTGTGAGATAAAGAATGTCTGAGTGTTGAGTAACGAGTAATGACGTTTTGTGATGTCCCAGATGAGCTTAAAGTGGGAGGGCCAATCACTTCACTGTATCTTTGACCTAAGCTGGGTCAATAACTTCACTGTATCTTTGATCTAAGCTGGGTCAATCACTTCACGGTATCTTGGACCAAAGCTGTAAAGTAGTTTAAAAAGCGTTGATCCAATATTTTTAAAATAGTCTCTTGAATGTGACGGGGTGTATTTTCTCTTAAAGCCTACTTTAAGATTTGGCTTAATGTACCGTATAACTATTCTTATATTTCTTTATGTATATATATATATATATATTTATATATATACACACACATATATATATATATATATATATATATATATATATATATATATATATACACACACATATATATATATATATATATATATATATATATATATATTATATATATATACACAGTTTATACAACTTTAGCATTGTATAATTTATATTTGTATAATTAAAAATTATAAATAGAAATTTCAAAGCCAATGTTGATTGTACCAACATTACCATACATTCTATGAAATTAATGAGGATTCTTTGTAAAGCGACACGCAACATCCTTGACAGATTTAACCAACTACTGCAGAAATACGGCTCATGTCAAGACATTTCATTCGAGGCAACATTTAACATTTCCATCGTGAAGTCTTCTGGGTTTGGATTTTGAAATTTAATGCAAGTTCAACCCAGACAGATGCACGACATTACAAATGTTGATTTCAGCCAAGTGATCTTCAGATTAACGCTCTCAAGTGCCTGGTTGTTGGATCTAGGCAAATTAAAGTTGTTCTAATAGGAATAAATATGAAATATATATATATATATATATATATATAAAGTAAAAATTATATTACATTTTTGAAAAGCTCAGAAAGTTATGTATGCATCTAAAGCTTTTAAAAATAATATTCATGATTGACATTATATTTTATGTAACATGTTTTTGAAACATTTTTAAGTATCTTCTTTTTAGTTCATTGTCGTTTTGGGTGTATAATAAATTTGTTTGATATCGCATAAAGGCAAACATTTATAGCGCATGCTATATGTGATTATAAAGCATTCAGTCTTTGGGAAATGATGAAAAAACGTGTAGAGTCTGGACCGTGGACAGTTTTCTAACTCTTCAGACAAAAATGGAGCATTCTTTATTCAGCGCCTTCGACGTTCCGCTTAAAAGGCGACATGGATTCATCAACAGCTGTATGGAATGTGGATAACATAATGATATGTGACCTAATGTCCTAAATAAACTTTCTTAGACAATGTTGAATTAAATGATACTTCATCGAATGACAGCATATGCATATGTTATATTAGTGATCAGTGTTAACTATGACGATCAGTATATCGATAGAAATGATCAATCACAATAATCACAGACGTGTATCAATGTATGCAGGAAAATTCGCAAACAGAGATGGTTCATTTCTGTGAGGAATCCACGAATACTATATAAAAAAAAGAATGTTATTTTGAGGTTTGCCGTGCCAAAGTTATTTCTTGGTGTTTAAGTGTTAGTTGTTTTTTTTTAAGGCAGTTATTGCGTTTTAAACATATTAATCACAAGGGATTTTACTCGAGTGGAACAGAAAGTCGCTCAACCGTGTGATGACTCCTGCTGGTCGTCCAACAACATTTGTTTCTTTCAGCTTGTGATTATTAGTTTTTTTTTGTTTTTTTTTTTTAACATTTTTATTTAACGAAATGGTATTCTGAATTTTACTTTTTAAACTTTCAAAACCATGAGGTTTATTTACAAATACTATTTTAAAAAAAATATTGTACAACATTATAGGATTGTAGAGATATTTTACAATGTTTTTCATTACATAGCGTGTTTATTAGGGCAGCTATTAACCCCTCTTTTTTACAAAAAAAACGCAAATCTATTTTGTGATTACGCTATAATCACATAAAAGGTAAAGTTATTAATATATTTTTTTCATTACAGCATAGTAGCGAAGTATGCATTTTTTAAAAACAAAATTTACACTTGTTGTTTTTCTACTTTACTCACTTCACTGAAAAACAAAACACTTACATTGTTATAAACCAAACACTTACATTGTTATAAACCAAACACTTACATTGTTATAAACCAAACACTTACATTGTTATAAACCAAACACTTACATTGTTATAAACCAAACACTTACATTGTTATAAACCAAACACTTACATTGTTATAAACCAAACACTTACATTGTTATAAACCAAACACTTACATTGTTATAAACCAAACACTTACATTTTTACAAACCTAAACGTTTTTTGGAAAATTACGTTGACCTTTTATATGTATTTTAATTTAAATGTATAACTTTTTTTCTTCAAAATGCCAATTGATGAGTTCAATTGGAAAATAAAATATTTAATAAAAATCAATAAAAGAGTTTGACTTAGGAAATTGTAGAGAACCTTAATACCAGTGTTTCTCAACCTTACTAATGCCGCGACCATTTAATACACCTCCTCATGTTGCGGTGAACCTCATCCATAAAATTATTTTCATTGGTACGTCATAAATGTGTTTACCGATGGTTTTAGGCGGTGCCATGTGTAAGGGTCGTTTCAACCCCCCCAAAAGGTTCGCGACGCACAGGTTGAGAACCGCTGCTTTAAGCTATAACGCTTGCTTACTCCGTCACTCGTGTTGCAACCCTCAGGTAACAGACCACACGTCGACGGCTACAGCATTTGATATACATTTACGAGCTACTGTGATTCATTTTCACTTACCTTGTAGGCCTACTCATCTCTGACTCTCAAGACTCCCCTTCTCACTACTGTCCAAGTCGGTCTCTCAACTGTCCCGCTGTCCCTCCGACGGTACTCCCACTACTCTACGACTGTGTTCTCCCTCCGGCTGATCTAGTCTCCACCAATGCTCCGCTTTTTATTAGTACCAGAATACGTCCTTCTATCTCCATCTATTTCTCGGTCATTTCTTATTAGCTAGCCACCAGGCCCTGCATTCCAATTTTATAAATATACTGTCCCCGTCACGGGTCATCCTAGCGTCGTCTTTGTTCATTCTGACCCCTTACGACACGGGGGGTCAGTCTTTGATCATGTGAAAATCTTCCATCCACATGTACTAACCAAGTTGCGACTCCACAGTATTGCGTTTTTTTGGTGTTTTTTTTTTGAAACTGAAAATTGTTAATTTTTGTAAGACTATTCTAAAATCATACCAAAATAAGGGTCACTTTCCTTTCTTAGATAAATGAAACGTTGAGTTTTGTGGGACACATTATATATTGGGTGATCGTCGTTTTCACAAATAGTTATATAGACTATATTCAAAAAAAGAATTGGCGTCTCTTTTAATGTCTGTATTTCTGAAGATAGCACGTTCAATTTGTTTTAACATCGTATAAACTATACACACATATATGGATTTAACCTAGCCACTTTCACCCGTAAAAAAATTAAGTTATTAATTCAAATTTGCTTTATTTATAAACGAGATTTTAGTGTCTTCTTCAACGGCGTTTCCTCAAATCTTTTGTTTATATTAGACTCTATATCTTGGTAAAAAAAAACAATGTCCTTATGTTAAACACAGTAGTTAGGTTCAGTTGAGCTACCTCTCGCCATGATACCGACTGACTGCACTGAAAACAAACGAAGTTACATCTAAAATGACATACATTTCGCCGACGGAAAATTGATCGACGGAAATTTGATACCATACCATATATCAAAACAAAATAATGCGTTCATAAAAGAAATTTGACGCAAAATTTTAACATGTGAACTGAACAAAATATTCGACCAGACTTCCTTTCGATCAAATTTCCGTCAATCAATTTCACGTCGAGGAAATTTATTTCAAACAAATTTCCGGATACGGTTCCTGTCAGGTTAAACTATCTGAACGCACAAATGTGAATTTTTCCTTTCTTAAAAAAAACCTCGAAAGAAACGAGCCCTAAAACCAAGCTGTTCGTATAAATCCTTTATATCCCTTCCTGTTTGCGTTTATGTAGCTGTACGTGATTTATCATTTACTAAGAAGAGGTTATGTAAATGGGCGAACTTCTGGAGAAAGCACGTTTCATATATTTCCTTTTTTTTTCCACTTCAAAAAAAATTTATTTCATTTTTTTTACTGCAACACAATTGATCTCCATAACCAAAAAAAAAAAAAAACCACGCAACTGTTGAACAGATTGTATTCCATACATCGTGCCCTTGGAGAAAAAAAAGAGTAAAATAACTTCTGGAGAAAGCACGTTTCATATATTTCCTTTTTTTTTCCACTTCAAAAAAAATTTATTTCATTTTTTTTACTGCAACACAAATGATCTCCATAACCAAAAAAAAAAAAAAACCACGCAACTGTTGAACAGATTGTATTCCATACATCGTGCCCTTGGAGAAAAAAAAGAGTAAAAAAAAACTGATTTTGGGGTGTGTGGCTGAGCATATCATAGAATATCTTGTTATCAGCAACGAGCTCGTGTGCCAAAGTTTCAACTCGATAGGTTGACGGGAAGTGAGTCATTTGGCCTTGCGAAGATTTTTGCCACAAAGACACAAACAAGTGAGGAAGTTAATAGATACAGAATTTGAAAAGCAGCTTCTGACTCAACCTCTCAACACGATCTGTCTACAGGCTCCGAACGGGTCGACGACGCCCCATGTTGGGTTGAGACGCCCCATGTTGGGTTGAGACGCCCCATGTTGGGTTGATTGGTGCTCTTGACAAGAATGTAACTTAGTTGTGTTATTTAACACGTCAAAGCGTGTTATGGTCTGATAGAGGCTCTTTCAAACGAGACTTTGACTTGATTTACCTCAATTAAAAAGAAACACACACACAAAACCTACACGTTTTCGTTGACAATAATTTACAAATAGAGACAGGATCCAGAAACAATGACAGCACCGCCTGCAGCCCATGCTTGTGACCCGGCGAAACCCAGACAACGCAGGCCAGACATTTGCATCCTTATTATGCACAATAGGAACGAATAATGGCATTTTGAATATTAAGTGGTTTTTTGTGGGTTTTTTTGCTCTTAGATTTAAAACATTAGAATACTTACATCCTTAAATCATACAGAATGTCGAATTCCTCTCATTGACAGCTTGTAATACAGTTATAAAACATCTCGACTTGGTTATTACTGAACAATGAGAGGTGGGGGGGGGGAAACAGCCATTACAAAAACAAACAAGCACACAAAACACACACTAAAATGATATTCAGCTTTGATTATAACAAACAAATTATTCTCCAGCCAAATTAGTTATTAGAATGGGC